CGATAACTTGAAAAAGTGTCTTCCGATCGTTTTCAAAATCTTCAATACTGGTAGAAAAAGGTTGGTATTGTTATTGGAGTGTCTATAGGTGTCAAGTTACCAGTTTTGTATTGAAAATGGTACGACACTTTTTCCCAGGAAATATTTTGAGTATGCCTCAGTCGTTAATGATTGATACATCTAATATCTACAAAAAAGATAATCTATAATTTTAGGAAGGGCAGATGCCAATTTGAGAGTACACTAACGTGATCAATAAATTTGGAAGAGTTTATTATTATTATTATTATTAAAGATTAGCCGGTATTCTCCCGGCCCGGGCCTTTTCCAAGTGGTGGCCCGGCCTTGGCTCCCTCTTTAGGGAGTGTCTGAGACCTAAGTCTCCCATGGGAGGAGGCACAAGTACCTCCTCATCTTTGGGACCAACTGTCCCCAGGCCTAGCCACAAGCTAGGCCTCTCTGGTCTGCCATCCCCGCCCCAAGGGGACTAATGGGAATGACAGTCTTATGAGCTAAAGGCTCGGGCTCAGGCACCTACCCTACCCTAGAAGGGTTAGGCATGGTGTCGATGGAAGAGTTTTATTTCGTGGGATTACTGAAGAATTTTTATTTAGACAAAGTTGAGAGTTTTAGCGGTGGTATGTTTTCTTTATAGGACAGTTCATATTGCTAATTCAATTCAATTCAATTCTCTATAAGGATTACAATGCTGAGTTAACAGAAATTTGGTTATTGTGTGGTTTACATGTAGTAAAATTGTGATTACAGAGTGTACCACTAGAACGCTTAACATGGTTAGGCATTTCGGGCAGACTTAGTTTTATTCTTAATTGTAAAATATTACAAATTATGAGGTAAGTTGGTATTATACCTAAGTGACTAAATATTAGTTTGTGAGTTTAGCAATGTGAATGCTTTTGTTTTGGCACAGTACATAGTTTCAGTATTGGAGTATCACAGGATTCATTATTTTAAGAAATGAGTATTAATATTTCTGTTTATGTCAAATGAGTGGTTTAGTGTAAGTGTGAACTCACCAGGTGGTATTCGTGTAGTTAGTTGACGGGGTGTAAACAGGGAGATAAGATGTTTTCTAATGGTAGTTTGAAGGTGATGAATGTGTCTGCAGTTCTAGAGTTCTAGGTAGGGTATTCCAGATTTTAGGGCCTTTGACTACATTGGGAATTTTTTTAAAGGTTTAGTCGGACACGGGGAATGTCGTAGAGATGTTTGTGTCTGGTGTTATGCCTGTGGGTTCTGTCACAATATCAAGAAAGCGTTTTAGGTCAAGGTTAATATTAGAGTTTTTAAAGGGCCCTGTAGATGTAGATTGCACGTAGTAAGTGTGGATGTACTGAACTGGGAGTAAATTTAGGTCTATGAAGAGTGGGGGGGTGTGTTGCCAGGGATGGGATTTAGTGATTATTTTACTGCAGCTTTTTGTTGGGTTATTATTGGCTTTAGGTGTGTTGCTGCAGTTTTATCCCCAAGCACAAATGCATAGGTGAGGTATGGATAAATAAGTGAGTGGTATAGGTGAGAAGGGGATTTTTTCGGCACGTAGTATCGTATCTTGGAGAGGATCCCAACAGTTTTGGATACTTTTTTGGTTATATGCTGGATATGGGTGCTGAAATTCAGGTTGTTGTCAAGGTATAAGCCTAGGAATTTGCCCCCATTATTTTTGGTAATTAGAGTGTTGTCAATCTTAATGTTAATTTGAGCATCTCCTGCTCTGTACCAAACATAATATAGTAGGTTTTGTCAGTGTTAAGCGTAAGTTTATTGGCTGTCATCCAAGTCGATATTTTAATCAGCTCCTCATTCACAATGGTGTTGAGGGTGGCAAGATTAGGGTGAGAGATGACATAAGTCGTGTCATCAGCAAAGAGGTGTTGGGATACGTTTGGAAGGTCATTGATGTATATGAGGAAGAGCAGGGGACCAAGGACACTTCCCTGCGGAACTCCAGTATCAAGTGGCCGTGTTGCTGATGCTGTGTCTTTAATGGTGACGTACTGATACCTATTAGTAATGTAAGATTTGAAATAAGCAAGCGCATGGCCTCTTATACCGTAATGATCAAGTTTGTGGAGTAGGATGTCGTGGTCTACTATGTCAAAAGCTTTTCTTAGGTCAATAAAAATTCCTAGTGGATAGTGGATGGGTTGCATAAGTTCCCATTTCTCAAGGAGGTAGACAATAACAAGAGCAGACAGGAGGAAATAGGGATACTGGTAGCAGAGAATCCTTTTAATAAAACGTTTCGCTCAAAGCTGGGCTTTATAAAGTATAAAGAAATCATCAAATACACCGCCAAATACTCCTTATGGAGCTCTTTTGCCTTATTCTTGAATACTTGATAAAGCTGAGCCTTGAGAGAAATGTTGCATTTAAAGGGTTCTCCGCTATCAGTGTCTTTATTTGCCAGTTTCCTAATTATATTAATCAAATTTTGATATTGATCTCCACACACAATACCCGGAGACTGCAGGGGAGGGGGGAGGAATAATTACGCAAGCCACTAAATTTTGGAGACATACATAATTCATGTTGAAGCTAAAATCCGATCAGCTGAAGTAAATATTAATCTGAAAAATTGCTGTACTCGAAATCTACACCGAGTTACTGTGTCAGTAATTACCTTTAGCCGTCTAGGAGAATTTTATTATTTTTAATTTAAATCCTATAGTAATTAGTACTAATAGGTTACATTGAAAATATTCTTTGTTTACAGGGATGTGATCTTCCGTGTGTTGTATCAGTGAAACTAACACGTGTAAGTTTGATTAAGATCGGTCTATTAGTTTCTTTGATATAAACAGGAGACCTTCCTCCTTTGAGAGTCACTCTCAGAGACTGAACACTGATGTGTCAAAACTCTGCGGGACTTGTATTAAACATATGCACGTAAACGCATTCATATATGTATGTCGTGCCAAATAGGTAAAACTTGCGGTTTTGGCTTAAATAGCACCGCTCTTCTTGCCGAATAAGGTAGGGGAAAATTTGTGTATGTAGTCATTTCACAAAAATCATTCTGAACCTAACGAAAAAAAAATATGTTTCATTGTGTTTGTTTATTATTAAATTATTGTAAACTTATCAAGAATATATTTAGTTGGATTAGGCTAAATTAAATTGCGCTTGTTATACTAAGGTTAGGCAAGTTTTCTAAGGTTCTTTTGGTTCTTTTGACACAAACATTTAACTTTTAGAAATACATAAAAATATATATATCGGGAAAAGTTAACGACGATATTAGCTTTTCATATGCAAAAACGAATTAATTAACATATCAGTAAATAACGATTATATGAATATTTAGTAATATTAAACGAATGACAAAAAATAACCTTGAAAAATTTATAGGTATATTAAAAAGTAAAAAACCAGGCAAGCTATTATTGTGAGGAGAGAGTTTGTTGCAAAGTGTGAGGAGAGTTTGTTGCAGTGTGTGTGATTAGAGTTTGTTGCAAAGTGTGTGAGGAGAGAGAGAGTTTGTTGCAGTGTGTGTGATTAGTGTTTGTTGCAAAGTGTGTGAGGAGAGAGAGAGTTTGTTGCCAGTGTGTGTGATTAGAGTTTGTTGCAGAGTGTATGTGATGAGTTGATGGGTGGTGAGGGTCGTCATGGTAACACACCTGGCCACCACGACTCTGCACGGAGAATTAATTTTGGGAGGACTTTGCTCAACTAGAACGTATGTTGTTATGGGAAGTACAGCGCCTGCGCTTTGAAGGAGGGATGGACATATGTTGCAGTTTTGTTGACTGTAGTATCGGTATGTCTCTGGCAAGACAGTGATGGAGTGAGTGATGGTGAAAGTGTTTCTTCTTTTTGGGCCACCCTGCCTCGGTGGGAAACGGCCGATGAGTTAATATATATATATATATATATATATATATATATTTATATATATATATATATATATATATATATATATATGTACAAGGAATTCGCAAGAGCAGGCGAAATATACACAAACACTGATCTCTGGCCGAAGGAGACTCGAACCTACGAGCCTTGGAACAAGGTATGCAGTGCTTTACCATCCTCACCACACTGGCCAATACCTTGAGGCCCAGCTCACGCTAGACGTTGATCCATGGCAGCCAGCTTTCAGGCGGGAGGCTTACAGCTTTTCGTCTCATCCCCTGCATCGACCAACTAAGGTATTGGTCCAGTGTGGTGAGGATGGTAAAGCACTGAGTACCTTGTTCCAAGGTTCGTAGGTTCGAGTCTCCTTCGGCCAGAGATCAGTGTTTATATATATATATATATATAATATATATATATATATATATATATATATATATTTATATATATATATATATAAATATATATATATATATATATATATATATATATATACATATATATATATATATATATATATATATATATATATATAATATATATATATATATATATATATATATATATATATATATATATAAATTACTTGTTTTTGAGAAATACATATACATACAGATTTATATCGTAGCAACATTTATGCAAGTTGGGCCTAAAATGTAACTATAAACTTTGTATTAGTGCTGGTCTCGCCTAGAATTGTTTAAAAAACATATAAAGTACATTTTTGTTGTTCATCAAACTCTGCGGAGACCTTGGGGGAATCAAGGATGCTACAGGTGTTTATCCTGTGGATCGCAGTACAGGGATGTTAAAAGGAAGGTGGCAACTCCTGGATGATTTCCACGAGCCCTGGACTCACTTGTGTTAAACATGTCACATCTTACCCACAGAGGCCCAAAGCAAAATATAATGAGAAGTATGAGACTGAATCTATTATCCTTAGTGTAGGAAGATTAAAACACATTATATATGAAGTTCTGTTTACAGATAAAAAGACATTTAAACAATGATAATGAGTAGTGCACCCAGCGCATTATCTCATGTTCATACAAACATTGCAACAGAACAATAATGAAGGTGACAAAATATGCCTGCCCAAGGGTAGGTAGATCGGATGAGCTTATTTATGATTTGGTTTCTCTTTTGTATGGCGAAGCTGCGTAACTGCTGAAGGGAAGACTCAGTCCACCCTGACTGATAACTTCACCACCTATGCTACCCAAATCACTGATGATTTCCCCACCAAAACCGCCTACGTTATCGATAAGGCCTCCGCCGTAGCCTCCAATGTTATTGATAAGGCCACCACCCACACCGAGACCTCCAATACCTGCACCTCCAACACCGATATCTCCAATGCCTCCAGCACCGAGACCTCCAGCACCGAGACCTCCAACACCGAGACCTCCAACACCGAGACCTCCAACACCGAGACCTCCAACACCGAGACCTCCAACACCGAGACCTCCAACACCGATATCTCCGATGCCTCCAACACCGAGACCTCCAACACCGATATCTCCGATGCCTCCAACACCGAGACCTCCAACTCCAAGACCCACGTCTCCTACACCAAGACCAACATCATCAATGATGCCAGCACCCACGCCAAGTTCGTCCTGAGCAACGGCAGATGCAAGAGCATCCTGGAGGTCAACATCACCGGGCAAGTTGGGAACCTTCTCGCCATCGTAGTTGATGAAATATACTTGAGGGTTCTTGAGTGGCGGTGCAGGGACCTCGATGATCTTCTGTCCCACTTGTTTGTTCTGCTTATTGAGGACGTACACAATATTCTCGTACCTGGGTGGGGGCACGATGATAGGTTCGGGTTTCTTGACAGGCTCAGGCGTACGGATGAAGAGGACATTGTGGAAAATCTTTGGTGTGGGAATTTTTGGTGGTGGACCAACTGTTTCGATCAATGGCGGAGCAGCGAAAACGTGGACGGTTCGGTAGATTTTCGGATACACACACGCACCGTCGATTCTCCACACCTTGCCACCAGAGCAAATTTTCTCGAGAGGTGGTACTGGAACACCGTACCCTTCAGCAGCAGTGCATGCAGCTACCGTCAGTAGGGTGAACAGCACCTGCGGTACAATAACAAACGGAAATGATTAGAAGTGGTATATACAAATATTGTCGAATAACAACTTTACTGTTACAATGCTAACAAAAATTCATACAAATGGAATGCAGATAACTTTTTAATAGATGTATGTGTCTCTAGTGTTAAAATATTATATTAAATGAATCACAGGTGAATTCAGCAGGTACCCGTGAGGGACATGGGTACATGACATGCAGACATGAGACATGATTTAAGGTGCAGATGTGTTAGAAACGGCCATGCTTAAAACAATCCCGCTACTAGGATGAGAAGACAGGGGAGGCAGAAAATGAGACCTGGTGAAGCCTATCATTTGTGGGCATATAGCTGGTGCAAACTTTATTATGTGGCACCATTTCAGTTGTTTTTAAGTGACTCCCGTCATGCATTTGTAATTAATCAATGAACCGCTTGAATAACGCCCGCACTTCCCACACACTCCCACAACCAAGTACAAGGATACACAACTAATTGTCAAAGAATATAATCACGATGCAGGATCGTAGAATGATCACTCATCAGGGTATCAAACACTTTCAACCAAAACATCTGGTTTTACAACATAGCTGAGTCTCTTGTCATAAAGCTTCTAGATCAGTTTCCTACACAGTAACAAAATGGAGCAATGATGTAAGCCTATTGACGCATGATGAGCGGATTCTTCTCAAATCCAGACTTGCTCGATCATCATACATTTGCCTTCCGTTTGTATGGTACATTTTATCTTTAATACTGCCTGACTCTGCACTTCACTACACTCCCTATGAATATGCTCATTTAGATTTGTTTTGTTTGTGACTTGAAAAAGCCCACTGCATAAGCGAAGCGTCATTTTTTTAGGCCACTATATGTAGCTCATACCCCACTCTCCGCCTATATTTACTGTTATTTTAACCTCTGTGTGTTAGAAGTGATCAAGGTCCCAGGTCAGAAACGTTTTCTAATATATCCTAGTGTTTGCTCTAGTGCCTTTTTAAACCAATTTGTCGTATCAATTACCAAGGTTTATACTGCACCACATGTGTGTGTTTCCACAAGTTAAGTGCTGCTAGTTAACCTGGTCCGTAGAATAAGACGTAAAGCTTGGTTAACTGTTCATTATTTCGCTTGACAATGCTGTCACCAGTACTCCACTTGACAATGCTGTCACCAGTACTGCACATGACAATGCTGTCACCAGTACTGCACATGACAATGCTGTCACCAGTACTGCACATGACAATGCTGTCACCAGTACTGTACATGACAGTGCTGTCACCAGTACTGTAAATGATAATGTCACCAGTACTGTACATGACAATATCGTCATCAGTACTGCACATGATAATGGTTATAATTATGAACATAATTTTTAAAGTGGTGGACCAGTAAGCCAGTGGAAGGCCTCGACCAGTTGACCAAAAGCTCCAACTGTGTGCCATCATATGACTAAGACCCGCGTCAGGAAACCCTTTGTCCTGTTTCCTGACGATCCTTACCTACCTTATCCTGCACACGACAATGCCATGCCACCAGTACTGCCACCAGTACAGGTGCTCTTCGCACCTACTCCTAGGTTGAGGGACTGATTACCTCATCTTCTGTACATAGTTCTACTGTCTTCAAGTTATGTCCTAGAATTTGTATTGATAAAGCCACTGGATGGCGAAACGTCTACAATAAAGATACCCAGATGTTGCACATGTGTCTTAATCTCATCTTGTCGGTATTATATACCATTCGTACACCACATGATAAGGTTGTCGTCTAGCCTTACATTCTGGCGACATCAGGTGCATGTTTAGCCTCGGTGTATTTTCTAGTTATTTCCAGGGAAAGACCAAGCCTAGTTGCCTTAAGCAACTAGGCTTTTTCTGTTTTGAAACACCAACACATTCAATAAAAAATAATTAAAACAGCAAAACATTATGATATAGTGATGAATATCGCAGTTAGTTTCATAAAATCATCTAATGAACAAGAAGAAAAATCAAATTTAGTAGGTATAATGTTTGTCAGGAAACAGGATAAATGTTTCTTGTTGAGAGTCTCAGATATATGACCCATAGATGGAGCTTTTGGTACCCGACCGAAGCCTTCTGCTGGCTTACCAGTCCACCCCTTTAAAAAATTATGGTTATGAATATAACCAATTTAATGCAGGTTAGATAAAATTCCTAGTGTTTTTATGCTATTATTACTAATTTCAAGCTATGTTCTTACGTTATGTAAATATTTTGTATTATCATAGGTAATAAATACCTCGTTTGAATAGAGATTTACATTAAATTAAAAGCGAATCAATTCTATATGACTTGATTTAAAACATCGTCCTATGAGAGCGGCGCCGGAGAGTACATCAGTGTCTTAGATATGTGGTTCAGGGAGTCGAGTCTTGTCTGATCGTTACTCCGCGTAGAGCATTTTTTTTTTAGGGGGTGGGGGCATTTTTTCTTTAAGTTTTAATTAGCAACTGATTTAATTGATGATGCCCGCCATGGTGAGTGGGGCAAGAAGTCGATAGGTGAGTATAAACACAGCAGTCGACAGGTGAGTACAAACATACAAGTCGGCGAGTACAAATACAGCCAAGAACTCACTTGTCGAGAAGAAGGATTTTTGCACGATTAAAATTTTGGTGGAAATTATGCTACTTGTCATACCAGGTTAGGCAAGCTTAGAGCATATTCACTCACATTTCCCTATAATGACCGGACAATAACTGAATTAAATATAAAAATGGACGGGTGGACATCTGAATGAACAGTTTAACAGCCACGGTGATGTGTTAGACAGATTACTTACACAGCAAACCTTTAAATGCTAGACGAAGTTCCTGAAGAGTGAACTTCATCGCGTCTCTGATTCTTTATCGAGTCTCAGACTTTAATAAAATTTCTCAGTCTTTATCAAGTTTCTCAGACTTATGCAAACTGTTAATTTAAAATTATGTCTTTGTACCCGTGTATACTAATGGTTACAACGTGCGGCATGTTTGTAATGTTTGTTTATTGTGGTTGGCGTTGCGTTCAGTCGCGACTCTTAATTGTTCCTATGTCAAAAATACGTGACTGCAGCAGAACTCCAGATATATAACGAAATAAGTTAAAATTAAAAATGTTAACGAAGGAATATTCCTAATGGTTATAATCATAACCATGATTTTTAACTAAGTGGAGCGGTAAGCTAGTGGAAGTCCTCGGTCAGATGACCAAAAGTCCCAGTTGTGTTGCCACCATGTGACTGAGACCCGCGTCAGGAAACACTTGTACTGTTTCCTGACAAACATTATACCAACATTAAAAACATTGTTGATTCGCGTTTTCTCTCAGGAGTTTGATAGAGGAAATTATTATTATTATTATTATTATTATTATTATTATTATTATTATTATTATTATTATTACTAGTAGTAGAAGTAGTAGTAATAGTAGTAGTAGTAGTAGTAGTAGTAGTAGTAGTAGTAGTAGTAGTAGTAGTAGTAGTAGTAGTAGTAGTAGTAGTAGTAGTAGTAGTAGTAGTAATAGTATATTCGTGTTAAGCAGTGTTTGGGGAACAGAAAAGATTGGGGTAATCACGTTTGATGCGAGAAAAGCAAGGATAGCTTCAGTTTCTTAAATCCAGAAGCCTTCACCAGCAAGAGGACAGGATGAAAGATCGTCACGTCTGGTATACATGTCTTCAGATATGACATCTGGGCAAGCAAGAGAACTTTGTTAATCAAGTAATGATAACTTTTCTCTATGGATATAATTTTGTGTTCCTCCATTACATGGCTAGATTTTTGGTCGCATTATACCTTCGGTGAAGTTTTCTTAAATCTTTGTGAGTCTTCCAGCACAAGGCATGGTGGAGCCTCGATCCTCCGTTCAGTAATCGTGAAAACTTTTCCTAACTGCACTTACAGTAAAGGTTAATGTATGATTAACACTGTCAAGTCCTTCTGCTGCGTAGTGTAGCTACTGCTCCTTATATTAAAAGGTAAGAAAGGTGCCTCATGATCTGCAACTGTTTCTGCAGCCGTGGTTTTAAGGTTATTAAGGCGGCCTGTTAGTGGGGCTCTACGATACATCGTCTTCTCACATCTCCTCGAATCCTATAACAAATTTTAAAACTCATTCCTAATTAAATTGGATTTATGACACTTATGTGACATTTTAGAGATACATTCTGTATTTATGTCAGACTTGAAATGGGTAAGTGAGCTTTTATGTCTTGCAACGATACAACAGATTTTACCGTGTTACAGAAGGCAGAGAAATAACGGAGGTGAGGTAGTTGTCACGTTCGAAAGTAATCCTGGCCACGCATGTCTGTGAATTGATACTTCACATGAATGCGTTAAACCTTGAGAGTACCAGCTAAGCATACTATGAAATACGGTCCTGTTCTAACGTTAATTGAATTGGAATCAGACAACTCCTTGGTATCTTAATTTGAAGACGTTTCGCCAGTGTTTGTATCAATTTTACTCTGAATACAGTAAAGATATCCATGTGTTGCATATGTGTCTATATTCATCAACTGTTGTTTTCTTTTCTCCCCTGCCTGAGGCGCATGCGGAGTCGTGATGATTACTGGTATGGGGTGAAAAGAACACCGTGCGAAACAAGCTATCACTGGGACAACGTTTCGTTGAAAAAGCTCTATTTTGAGAAAAAACGTTGTCCCAGTAAAAGCTTCCAGTGCATTTTGTGTTTCCACATCCTCGACAAGAGGTAGGGAAAAAAGTCGATCGCTGCAAGTTGATCGTGAAAAAAAGTACACTGTGCTATGGAGTTGAATACATCGTAGCTGGAGCAACTGACAACAATTTCGTATCAATCGTTTGTGGCTGTTGTAAAGAGAGCAACTGGCTGTTGAATCAACAACAACTGGCTTTTGTAGAGTGGGGATAAGGGTGTCGTAACAACCATATCTGGCTACTTGAAGCTAAATATGGCTGGCGGTTTGCCACCAACTGTTTACTACGTTACCAAAAAGTCCTGTGGGTTGTCCACTGGTACTGTTGGGTGACCAGTCCTGTTACTGTCACCAACCAGTCAATACTAGCTGTCACCAAGCAGTACTGGCTGTGTATCCAATAGGCAGTAACTGTGTCACCAGCTAGTAATAGCCATGTACGGTGCCCCGTGGCCTGGTGGCAAAAGCTCTCGCTTCACGCGGTGAGGGTCCGGGTTCGATTCCCGACGAAGGGGTGGAAACATTGCACGTGTTTCCTTACGCCGGTTGTCTATGTTCACTCATCAGTAAAATGGATACCAGGGTGTTAGTGGACTGGTGTGGGTCGCATCCTGGGACCAAACTGACCTAATTTGCCCGAAATGCTCAGCATAACAAGAGGCTTTCTCTGTAGTAGTATGTCATTGATGTCAACTAGGACTGTATACCTTGTACATGTTAATAAAGACATTATTATTATGTGTCGGAAATTAATACTAGCTGTGTCACTAACCAGTACTGACTGTGTCACTAACCAGTACTGACTGTGCCACTAACCAGTGCTGACTGTGTCACTAACCAGTACTGCCTGTGTCACTAACCAGTACTGACTGTGTCACTAACCAGTACTGGCTGTGTTACTAACCAGTACTGGCTATGTCACTAACCAGTACTGACTTGTCGTACAGTACTGACTCCAACCAGTACTGGCTGTGTTACTAACCAGTACTGGCTATGTCACTAACCAGTACTGACTGTGTCACTAACCAGTACTGACTGTGTCACTAACCAGTACTGACTGTGTCACTACCTAGTACTTGGCCTACGTATCCACTAACCAGTACTGACTGTGTACACTAACCAGTGTACTGTGCTATGTCACTAACCAGTACTGACTTGTGTCACTAACCAGTACTGACTGTGTCACTAACCAGTACTGACTGTGTCACTAACCAGTACTGGCTGTGTCACTAACAGTACTGGCTATAATGTCACTAACCAGTACTGTGTTCACTAACCAGTACTGACTGTGTCACTAACCAGTATCTGGCTAGTTGTCACTAACATACTCAGGTGTCACTAACAGTACTGCTGTGTCACTAACCAGTACTGGCTGTGTCACTAACCAGTACTGGCTGTGTCACTAACCAGTACTGGTTGTGTCACTAACCAGTACTGGCTGTGTCACAACCAGTACGGCTATGTCACAACCAGTACTGACTGTGTCACTAACATATGGTGTGTCACTAACCAGTACTGGCTATGTCACTAACCAGTACTGACTGTGTCACTAACCAGTACTGACTGTGTCACTAACCAGTACTGGCTGTGTCACTAACCAGTACTGACTGTGTCACTAACCAGTACTGACTGTGTCACTAACCAGTACTGACTGTGTCACTAACCAGTACTGACTGTGTCACTAACCAGTACTGGCTGTGTCACTAACCAGTACTGGCTGTGTCACTAAACAGTACTGGCTGTGTCACTAACCAGTACTGGCTGTGTCACTAACCAGTACTGGCGTGTCATCAACCAGTACTGGCTTTGTCACTAACCAGTACTGGCTGTGTCACTAACCAGTACTGGCTGTGTCACTAACCAGTACTGGCTGTGTCACTAACCAGTACTGACTGTGTCACTAACCAGTACTGACTGTGTCACTAACCAGTACTGGCTGTGTCATAACCAGTACTGGCATGTACTAACCGTACTGTGTCACTAACCAGTACTGGCTGTGTCAACTAACAGTACTGCTTGTGTCACTAACCAGTACTGACTGTGTCACTAACCAGTACTGCTGTGTCACTAACCAGTACTGGCTTTGTCACTAACTGTACTGGCTGTGTCACTAACCAGTACTGGCTGTGTCACTAACCAGTACTGACTGTGTCACTAACCAGCACTGGTTGTGTCATTAACCAGTACTGACTGTGTCATCAACCAGTACTGACTGTGTCACTAACCAGTACTGGCTGTGTCATTAACCAGTACTGGCTGTGTCACTAACCAGTACTGGTTTGATGACACAGTACTGACTGTGTCATAACACAGTACTGACTGTGTCACTAACCAGTACTGACTGTGTCACTAACCAGTACTGGCTGTGTTACTAACCAGTACTGGCTATGTCACTAACCAGTACTGACTGTGTCACTAACCAGTACTGACTGTGTCACTAACCAGTACTGGCTGTGTCACTAACCAGTACTGGCTATGTCACTAACCAGTACTGTGTCACTAACCAGTACTGACTGTGTCACTAACCAGTACTGGCTATGTCACTAACCAGTACTGACTGTGTCACTAACCAGTACTGACTGTGTCACTAACCAGTACTGGCTGTGTCACTAACCAGTACTGCTGTGTCACTAACCAGTACTGACTGTGTCACTAACCAGTACTGTGTGTCACTAACCAGTACTGGCTGTGTCACTAACCAGTACTGGCTGTGTCACTAACCAGTACTGGCTGTGTCACTAACCAGTACTGGCTGTGTCACTAACCAGTACTGACTGTGTACACCGACTGTGTAACCAGTACTGGCTGTGTCACTAACCAGTACTGGCTGTGTCACTAACAGTACTGGCTGTGTCACTAACCAGTACTGGCTGTGTCATCTAACCAGTACTGGTTGTGTCATCAACCAGTACTGGCGTGTCACTAACCGTCTGGCTTGTGTATCAACCAGTACTGGCGTGTCACTAACCAGTACTGGCTGTGTCACTAACCAGTACTGGCTGTGTCACTAACCAGTACTGGCTGTGTCACTAACCAGTACTGGCTGTGTCATAACCCATACTAGGCTGTGTCACTAACCAGTACTGCTGTGTCACTAACCAGACTGGACTGTGTCCTAACCAGTACTGGCTGTGTCATAACCAGTACTGGCTGTGTCATAACCAGTACCGGTTTGTCGCTAAACCAGTACTGGCTGTGTCATTAACCAGTACTGGCTGTGTCAGTAACCAGTACTGGCTGTGTCACTAACCAGTACTGGCTGTGTCATTAACCAGTACTGGCTGTGTCATCAACCAGTACTGACTGTGTCACTAACCAGTACTGGCTGTGTCATTAACCAGTACTGGCTGTGTCATCAACCAGTACTGACTGTGTCATAACCAGTACTGGCTGTGTCATAACCAGTTACTTGACTGTGTCATCAACCAGTACTACTGTGTCACTAACCATACTGGTGTCATAACCAGTACTGCTGTGTCACTAACCAGTATGGCTGTGTCATCAACCGTACTGCTGTTCACTAACCGTATGGCTTGTCATAACCAGTATGGCTGTGTCATCGACATGTACGGCTGTGTCCACTAACCAGTTACTGGCTTTGTCACTAGACTAGATTGGCTGTCATTAACTAGTTACTACTGGTCACTCAACCATACTATGTGTCACTAACCACTAACTGTTCATCAACCAGTAACTGTGTCACTAACCAGTATGGCTATGTCAAAACCTGTACTGAACCCTGTTCATTACTAACTAAAATATCCTGTGTGGCAGATGCGGATCATGCAGAAGCAACACAAAAGCATCTGGCTGCATCCATAGACATGTTTTTAATGAGACTATTGTCCAAGCTATGTATAATTTAACTTCGATTTAGTTAAGTAGCACTCGCTTTTTTCTATGGACAATAGCAATGGTGTATTAACTAATTTCTTTATTGAAGAACATCAACCCAACTAATTTTCAATCACATCGTACACCACAGTTTTTCAACACGTAACACTTGTGATCCAAAAAGAGTTTGATGGATGAAAACACACGAGTAGGGAGGAAGTGTTCAACTCACCTAGAACTCATGGTGGATGTGTGAATGCCTGTGGAAGTTGTGTGAGACCGCTTTTCTAGTGGTCTCTGCTCCAGTCACTTGGGTCTGGCCCCCCATGCTAAACACGTCTTGGAGCTATCGTTCACATTCTTCTTACTTCAATTCTTATCCGTTTAAGCATGTCTTACCAGATGACCGGTATCTTTTTTTACTTGTTTCGTTATCCGTGAAAGTAAGTAACCGTTGTCATGTTAAATTAGATCAAAACATAAAATTTTAATCAATTTCATGTGTCCATTTGGACCTTTCAGTCCCCATCAATGTATATTTTCCCCCTTCCTCCCATAGATTAAAACCTCCAGGAAACATTGGTGAAAAACACTTGTCATTTATTCGTTATATAAAAAAATCAAGACTGTGTATCGCATCTGTAAGTCTCTCTTTTCTACTGCTTATACGGAAGATGGATCATGTCATTTAGAGAGATCGTTTTATTGTCATTAAAAATATGAGTTTCTAGATGTGCGTACAATGTTTTATATACGGTAATTAGCACAAAATTTAATCACTTTTGCTGTGCTTTAATCAAGAGAAAACCACGAAATATGCATTTTTAATTTTCATTATAAAAGTGGATTTGTTGACAAATATAATTCATTAAAATACTTTCCTATGAATTACTTAATTTTTTTTATTGTATATTTGAGAAACTAATTCATGTAAATTGACCTAAGATTCTAATTATTTTTTTGTATCTAAAATATCTCTATAACAAAATTATATATATTTATTAGTTAACATAATATATAAATAAAAAATTTTATATTAAAATCAATACACAAAATATATATATATATATATATATATATATATATATATATATATATATATATATATATATATATATATATATATATATATATAATATATATATATATAATATATAATATATATTATATATATATAAATAATATATATTCAAGATTTTATTTTAGCTCTGACCTTACAAACCAAAATAATCATAGATTGTTGTGTTTAGGTGTATGGAAGTCAAACTTAATATTAATCACACTTGCAGTCGATACATTAACAATTCTATTAATCAATTTAAACCTAACTATCTAGCAGTATAGACGCAGTCGAACGATTTTCAGTGCATACTAAAATTCGGTTGAGTACCGTTTGTGAGCTGGTTCACCTCCTCTCACTGGCAAGCAGCTAAATACATACAAGTTCTTTCATAAGTTTGGTAAGTTAAGCTATTTTGTATTACTTAAGATTCAGCAAGATTAGGATGGATTGTAAGGCTAGTTTAAGTATTATGTGGAAAGTGAATATCTGAAATTTCCTTTAACTGTTTCTCTTCCTTTGAAAGGACTTATGTTCAGTTGGTCCAGTCGTTGCACACTTACAAGCAAAGACTTCAGCACCTGTGATGATGTCGAGGTTACGGTAGTGTCCAGTGAGAAATTAAACTTAGCTCATGGTCTACGAAAACACTGCTTGGATTTATGTACATTATGGTATAAACCTTGGTAATAAATACCGACAAGTTGGTTTAGAAAGACACGTAAGCAAACACTATAACATATTTATTAGAAAGCGTTTCGGTCCTGGGACCTTGATCACTTCTAACATGTACATTATACACATCACACACACTGAGCTGCGAGGCTTACAATAGGAAGGTTTGACAGAGAGCATTCGAGTGACAAGCCTGCATCAGCGGCCACCAACTGCGACCCAACTGTTCCTTCCAATATCCTCAAAAGCCTTCATACCTCTCATAACTCCTCCATTTTTCTGCAACATTGCAAGCTCCTGATGATGTGTTGATAGCAACACGAAAGGCTGTCATTGAACTCCCACCGTGATTATGCTGCATCTTGTATCGCTTGTTCGCGATATTTGCATAACATCTATTCTTATAACCATCAAAACCATGTAGTCTATAACTCAAGATAAAGCATAATGAACGACAGTCAATTCATTTAAAAAAAAAAAAAGAATAGACGGGGGTTCGAACCGTAGCCCTGACAGGTAGAAAGTTCAGTGCTGTACCACCGAGCTTCCTATCAGGACCACGGTTCGAGTCAGCATCAGTCCATTCATTGATAGTCTTACTATGCTAGGATTTCTGGCTGCATCTCAGTGAGCTCTTCTTGATCTTGTTGACTGACTTTGTTGACTTGTATACCATCGCCGAGTATTTATAGTGAATTGAGGTACCATAGCGGAGTATGTTAGTTAGTTACCATTTTGTCCTAGGCATATGTCGATTAGACACTAGGCCTTTTGTATATGCGTGTGTGTGTGTGTGTGTGTGTGTGTGTGTGTGTGTGTGTGTGTGGTGTAAGGGGTAACCAAAAGAGAGGAAGAACGTTCAAAAACACTACTAGACAGTACGGCCTTAATAGTCTTGGCAGTCGATAAAACTTGAAATTAATATCCTTTACCTAACCTGAACTAACGACCCCTAACAGAAGCGAACCATTCTAACCTCATCTAACAATGAGAATGGTGACCAAGCAAACCTAATAGTCTAAGCCAACAACCCTAACCACGTCATGCCTAATACTTCGTTCAACTTGCTCCCTTTCCAGCTCGCAGTACTGAAAAAAAACGTCTAAACAGTACAACTTTCATCTCTTACTTCTTACTAATATAATTCACACAAGATTTTATATCAGTACCAAGTTTTTAATATACTACTTCTTTATATCAACAATTCCCTAAATAAAAGTTTTTTCATCGCCATTCTCAGCTGCATCGTCGAGCAAGTCTTAGTGATGTAATTTTTTTATTAAAAGGCTAGTTGCCATGAATATGAGATTATACACCATTTACAGAATTCTTAAAGGTTATGTTGCAGCTAAAGAGTTTTGACAGAAGACAGACTGTCTTCCTAAGTGTCTTCCTTGTGTTCCAGGTAGGCAGTTTGTCCCTGCATATTACTTTGTGTTCAGATGGCAATGTGTCCTTTCGTGTTACGTTCGTTCTAGGAACGAAGTGCGTCCTTTCGAGATATCTTGTGTTCTAGGAAGACAAGAGGAGTATCATCCTGTAGCTAAGGAAGACAATATTCCATTATCTTCCTGGCTGTAAGTCTAGTCGATGCTGCTCCTTGAACCTGTTACACATTCGACTTCCACTTCCTGGTTCATTTAACCTTTAACTCAGTTTTGCCAGTAATTCGTTTTTTCCCCTCTCAGGCTCAAAGGTGCGTTGACTTGCGGCTCATCTTGTTTTTGTCAATATTTGCTTTCCTTTTCGTTTATGTAAACTTCATACATTCGTTTAGGTTATGCTAGTTTGTTTCCATATTTAACGTAACTGGTTGAATATCTAAAGAATTTTCTAAATTGTTTTTTGAGTTATTAGTTTTTTCCTGCTAGTTTTGTTATCAACTTTCATTTTGCAAGTTGTTAAGAAAGTTGTTCGGTGGAAATAGAATGTCGGGCACATTATAGTGCTGTCATCCTGTGACCTACTTGTATTTACAGGAGTTTTTTGTTACGTTAGGCACACGCGAGCGATTATATAACCATGAGATTACACATGCGAATGTACTCTCCCTCTCTCTTACACACATTAGAGCGACCAGTGAAGAAGCGGGGTCAGGAGCTATGAATCGATCCCTGCAACCACAATTAGAAGAGTACGAATTAGGTGAGTAAACACACACACACACATACAGCAAGTCGTTAAAAAAAAACCATGAAAACACTCAGTACTATAGACCACTTTCGTTGACTTGCAAACCTTGTTTCACGAATAACTTAGAGTTTGATAACAATGTGGTGGAAATAATGCAGATGATGTGAAACTAATGAGGAAGATAATGAGTTGAAATTTCATCAAAAATAATAAGATTAAAAATATTTTACTGTAAATTATGAATTTTAGCCACATTTATCCTAATTTTAACGAAAAAACTGGAACATGACCCAGCAATACTAGAAGAGAAGAGAACCAAGGGACAAATAATACTGAAACATAAAATATTCGGAGGCAGAGTGAATAGTGTTGGAGAGGAGAGGAAAGGGAGCCAGGGAATATAGATGGCAACTGAAGACACACAGGAGACATGCAAGGGAAGGAGCCATGTTTCAGACTTAGGGTGGTAAGTAAAATATGGGATGAATTGTAAAGGACCTGCCTAGTATGGGCCAACAGGCCTGTTGCAGTGTTCCTCCTTTCTTATGTTCTTAAGTGGTGGAGGCAAGCAACTTTACAGTGTTTTAAAAGTAGGTGTGATCGGGACCTGGGAGGCCAGTAACCAGTAACCCGGTCAGGTCCAGGAGCTGTAAAGCTAACTCAGCAAACACACCTCAGTAATACATGTTCACCCCAGAAGCACGGCACTTCCCCACACTTAACACCTGTCACACCTTGCACCGTCCGGCACACCCACGACAACTTTTTCCAATTACCACACCCCAAACCCACCCTGCTAACCTCACTCCTAACCCCAACCAAACCTGCTAACTTTACCCGGCCTCCTCATCCCCGCCAACCACTCCTCTTTCAAACTGCAAAGTAAAGGAAAGGACTCACATTTAGCCTCGAGACGTGAGGTTACTGGTACCCGCCGCTCATCCCATGAGTGAACGTCCAGCTATATGGAGCAGCAAACCATCAGGATCAGCCTCCATGTGGTCCTGATGATCCATCAATATATATATATATATATATATATATATATATATATATATATTATATATATATATATATATATATATATATATATATATATATATATATTATATATATGGACATCTTTAGGATACGCATAGGAATATCATCACTTATTTACTTGTTTTTAAATGTGCAAAAACCTAGCTCCGGTACGTCTTTGGATCTTCATTTGAATAAGCTCTCTCAGGAGGCACTGTGTTGTTGTCTGACAAATGTACCTCCACCACCGCAAATCTTATGATTTTTAACTACATCATGTGTATTTTGTTCATTACTGTTAGTGGTATTAACAGCGTGCAAATCCACTATATTCTCTGATAAAGTGCTGGAGAGTATCTTCCTCTCCACACACACTTTTTCATTTACTGAATAATTTAACAATGGTTGATGGAACTCCAGATAACACAAACTTCCTCTAAGAACTTCATCACAGTTTTACGACTGAGGAACAATGTGATAGAAAATACTGCTGGGTGATTTAAATATTGGAATGAAAGAGAAGGATAAGTAGACTGTATATTCGTACGCTGTAAGAAACCGAACCATGGTACGTGTCTAGTGAGTCGTAAGACTCCAGGACACTGGGCTTACGAGCCTCACTCGTACAGTTGTTTGTTTGCAGTTGTGTCATTGCGATTTCGTGAGTCTGTAAGAATTTTTTTGGCACAATACCAAGCACTGATCAGATAACGATAAGCTCCATCGGATGTTAGTCACCTGACTAACATCCCTGTCAGGAGAAATTTTGACGTAATTTGAATAACAAACTTTTATTGTGACGATGTATCGCTCTGTTAGAACATTTTGCTGGTCAGGGATCCTATCCAGCAAAATGCATATAGTTACGAGGGTACCTTCACCATATTCAACTTTAACAACAATAACATCAACTGAGAATAAAACATCATGTTCTTAATGAAACATGCTAGGAAGATATCTTAAATAACATGGATCCGAACTAGTGTCATGAAAGGATCCTTAGTTTAGCAGCTGAAGTATGCTCAAGGCATATTCCCCTATGGAAAAAGTAGAAAAGATGTCAACTGGAAAGAGAGAGACGCTTCTTCAACAGGCAAAGTCGAAGAATCACTTCTCAAGGGTTCCGGAAGGGTGTTCGGCTATCTGAAATGCGGAATGAAGCACTGACTAGGGAAATAGAAAATATTGAACTTAAGTTAAATAATTCATACAAGATCCAGGAGGGACAGGAAGAACTAAAAGCAATTAATGAAACTGAAAACAGTCCAAAATATTTATTTTCATATTCCAAAAATAAGGCAAAAGTCACATTCAACATTGGACCTTTGCTTAAACAAGATGGGACTTACATGGACGACAGCAATGAAATGAATGAGATAGCGAAGTCTGAGTATGACTCTGTGTTTAGTGGGCCATTAATCAGATTAAAGATTGACAATCCGGATGAATTTTTCATCCAGCAGTAACAGCCTGGTTGATCAGGCCTTGATCTGCTGGGAGGCTTGGTCGAGGACCGACCTGCGGTGGCGTTGACCCCCGGAACAACCTCCATGTAGACTCCAGTTAGGGTACTAACATAATTTAAAAAATACTTGCAAGAAATAAGGTATATGCTTCCCAGAATCTTTCAGTACGAGATATCAGTCATGGAAGATAAAGCACGATGAGAATAGTAGGATAATGTAAGAGTGCTTTAACAAGTTGGACAGATGATTACTAGTTAAACCTTAACAAATGCAAATGAAATAGAGCACAGAGGAAAGGGGTCCAGAGACTGTGCATCTCCTTTCATGGAAGCTGGTGTTGGTGCCAAACTAAACAATGAGACCTGAGAAAAAGCATCACGTCCAAAGCTGTTCTTAAATTGAGTAAAAAAAATAAACGTTAGTGTCATTTTATTAGCTGGCAAATATAACATCCTTAAAAATCTAAACTAAGATTTCTTCAGGTTACTCATTACTTATATGTGGTCGATACTTGAGTCCACAGCTCCACTGGGGAACCTTCACTCAGTCAACTAACGTAAGAGTAGAGAAAGTTAAGAACTGTTACCAAACTATTAACACAGTTTCAAGTTTTTAGAAACGTGTTTTTAGAGGAAGGAAGAACAAAAGGTGACATGATCAGGGCGTATTTAAAAAAACAATAAAAAAATAGTAAGTTGAGTCAGACTTGAACGGAATACACATTCTAGGGAAACTTGCAGAA